AGACAACCCCGTAACAATATGCGTTTTGTACTGCTGTTACACAGCACAAAACGCATAAAAATCCGCTAAGAATTGCGAATGGTTGCGAAAATTCAGCTAAATCTACGAGGCTTTCTAATATTTCAGGCTCTGAAGCTCGCAGGTTTCAGTTTGAGGGTGGCCTGTTCCTAACAGCATACACACAGAACTGTTCACTTTCACTGTCCTAATTTTTTGCTAGTTCTTGCGCCCGGACCCTCACTGTTTCCTCTGTTGATTATGTCGATTATCTGGTCATCGATTTTGATAGACGCTGAAAAGTTGGAGAAGCCATTCTGAGCACCGTGCATCGTCCAGACAAAACGATTATCTGGTTCCATAAATCACGCTATTTTTAGGCCTGCGTTGTGAATTGTCGATGATTTTAGCGGTGAACTAAACGGATCGCTTATCCAGACGCCTTGGTATTATTGTAAATGATGTGCAAATTTTTGATGGTACTTTTTTGAAATGCGCAGTCTGTGCAAAAGCAAGATTACCCAGACAGTCGCTTAGAAGAATCCAATTTTACTGATAAATCGTAGTCATGACGTCATTTAATTTTATTATTCGTTATGCCGTGGTACGTGAAAACAGTAATGATGAGGTAAAATTTCAGAAAAAATGAAAGAATTTCAAAAGGATTCGTTAAGAAGTAGCGTATGGATCTGGCTTATTGGAAAAGTTTGCATCATTTGATAGTGTCTCCGGATTCGCTCGGTTAATATGTGCTACAGTGAATGATTTTGTTTTTGAAAAAGAAAAAAAAAGGACGAAGATCTGGTGTGTCTTGAAGTAGCTCTGTTAGCAAACTGAGTGTTATAAAATTATCAGTTACAGCATGATAAATTAATTTCGAAACACTCTGTCTCCGAAACACTTGAAATGGGACAGTCCCAAATGATTCGGGTGCCATGCGCAAATCCACAAAAGTAATCACTGCCTCAGTTTCTGAAAGGCAAAAAAATTTGATGCAGCACCGCAGTTTTTCATGAGTTCAGAGTTTTCCCTTCGGCAATCAGCTGGCGTCTAACCAAAGCGAACATCTCATCGACTGTCGCATCCAGATCATACATTGGAGCCCAGCCCCAGTCCTTTCTCGCATTCGAATCGTCCAGACTATCGGGCCACGAATCGGCTGCAAAAAACCAACTGTAAAAGAAGACTGGTTCTGGATTACGCATCTGCGGTCTGATAAGTAACTGTTTTTGTACAACAACAAATGATTGGCAGCGTGCTCCACTGTTTTGTCTAATTTTTGCCATGAAAAGGCTGTTAACAGTAAGAATAACCTGCACTGCCTCAGAGTTTTATGTGTGCACTCACACTCTATTGCTCTTTTCTTCCTTGTTCTGGAGGGAGCCATCAACTGAGTCAGTAGTGCTGCACAATGGGAACTCGTGGGATTTCAGCTTTTTGTGCCCCTGACCGCTTATGAGAGGGGGACGCCGCGAATTTGCAGACGTATTTGCATGCAAAAAACGTGAAATCTGAATTTGATCTTCCTGGGCTGTGCGCAGACAGGATGCGCCTTCAAATAAAAACTGCAGCTTTTTTGTGCTTCATCAATGATGCAAAAGTTATGCAACGATCCTCATCAGTGAACCAGCCTAGCACCATTTCATTTCACTTATTTGGAGGGCTCGACGGAATGAAAAGCCAGAGGTGAGAAGGGATAGCGTGGAAATCGGGAAAAAGATTTGATGGTAAATTTTTAGGCAGAATTAACACATTGTCTAGGCAAGTCCATTTCTGGGGAGTGGCTGTCGTTGGCAAAGCACTGCCAGTCACAGCACGTTCGGGTGCTTCCAGTTCTTGCACGAAAGCAGAAATATTTAATTTAGCAACCC